CAGACTCTGTACTGCTTCTACTTGTAACAGCCTGCTTCTTTGACTTCCAAGAAATGAGAGATGTTCCCAAATAAACACAGAATCCTGTTATAGATCGTCTTGTATCCTTACAGGCAGCCCAATCAGCATCAGAAAAGGCATTCAAGCATATCTCAGAATCCACAGAGTACATTAATCCTTGGCATGGATTTGTCTTAATATACCTGAGGACTTTATGAGCAGCCTGCAAATGAATATCAGATGGTGCAGAAATGAATTGACTTAGTTGATGGATTGCATAAGTGATATCAGGTCTGGTTATGGTGAGATATAGCAAACGTCCAATAAGCTCTCTGTATGAAGTTGGATTAGGTAAAAGAGTTCCCATATCTTTGACCAAATGTAGAGTAGGATCCATAGGAATAGAACTCGGTTTGCATCCAGTTAAACATGCATCTTCCAACAAATTCATTGCATACTTCCTTTGACAAACTGAGATTCCTTTGGATGATCTTGAAATCTCCAAACCAAGAAAGAATCTAGCGGGACCAAGGTCTTTGATTTTAAACTCAGATCTTAACAAGGTCTTCAAATTCTCCACTGCTACATCATCATTGCTGGCTATCATGATGTCATCAACGTATACAAGGACAGCAATAAAAGAACCAGAGATAACTTTAACAAATAAAGTGTTGTCTGCAGTAGATTGTATGAAGTTTGCACCCAATAAGACTGAAGAAAATCTCTTATACCATTGACGAGAAGCTTGCTTCAAGCCATAGAGAGATTTTAACAGTCTACATACCGGATTAGGAGGAAGCTTGATATGTGATGGTGGTGTATAACCTTGAGGAAGACTCATAAAAATTTCCTCATCAAGTTCCCCATGTAAGAAAGCATTTGATACATCCATCTGCGTCAAAGTCCAACCCTTAGCAGCCGCAAGACCAAGCATTAGTTTTACACTAGTAAGCTTTGCAACAGGAGAAAATGTGTCTTGAAAATCAATTCCTTCCTGTTGAGTGAACCCTTGAGCCACTAGCCTTGCCTTATAACGTTCTATTGAGCCATCAGGGTTGTATTTGATAGTAAAGACCCATTTACATCCTACCACATTCTTACCCGGAGGCAATGATTCAACAACCCAAGTCTTGTTAAGTTCCATAGCCTGTAACTCTTCATCAGCAGCCTTAGTCTATTTTTCAGATTTCATAGCTTGAGCAAAGGTCTTAGGCTCTGTTTCTGTATTATAGGCTAGTATATATGATTGAAAAAGAGGTGTGTATTTATCATAGGAAATAATAGAAGAGATGGGATATGGTGTAGTCTTTCTAGGTGATGGGTTATGATTTTCTGTAGGGGTAGGAGAAATAATAGAACATGATGGTGGATTAGTGTTTGTAGGTGGTAGTGAAGAAATGAAAGGGACAAGTGCACAATGATACTCAGAGAGATAAGCAGGAGCTTTAGTGTTACGTTTAGGCCTAGCAATAGGTACAGTATTAAGGCCTAAATCCTGTGTTTCTGCAGTACTAGTAGGAAGTATGGTACTAGGTAATGCAGATGTTGATGATGATGCATTACTAGTATGATTATGAGTAGTAGTAGGAACCAAAGAATCCTCATCAGTCAATGGCATTGTTTCTACAAAGTGTAAAGGTGCTGGTAAAGGCAAAATTGTATTAGGAAACATGTCAACAGATTTAGACAACAAATCACTTGTTTTGAAAGGAAAAATGTTTTCTTTAAAAACAACATTTCGTGAAATAGAAATAGCATGTGAGTCTAAATCTAAAACTTTATATCCCTTATATCCAGAAGGATAGCCTAAGAAAACACAGGGTTTAGCACGTGGTGAAAACTTATTTCTTTCATGCATATTAGTAGAAACAAAACAAAGACATCCAAAGTTCTTTAACAAAGTATAATCCGGATTCTTTTTAAGCAAAAGTTCAAATGGTGATTTGTTATTTAACAGAGGTGATGGTAATCTATTTATCAAGAAAACTGCAGTTAAAACACAATTACTCCAATATTGCATAGGAACATTTGACTGAAAAAGTAAAGCTCTTGCAACATTAAGAAGATGTTGATGCTTTCTCTCCACAACAGAGTTTTGTTGGGGAGTATAAGCACAAGAGAAGTAATAAATCATTCCTTGTTCTTTTACCAAATCATTAAATCCTAATTCAGGAGCATTATCAGAACGAATAGCTTTAATCTTTGTATTAAACTGTGTAGAAACAAGTTTGATAAAAACAGGAAAGACTTTTGAAACTTCTTGTTTATTTCTTAACATATAAACCCAAGTAGTTCTTGTACAATCATCATCCAAAGTAAGAAAATATCTAAATCCTTCTATAGATTCAATACTAAAAGGACCCCATATATCCAAGTGAACAAGATCAAATGGATTTGAAGCTAAATTGTTATGAGATATGTATGCTAAACATTTCTGTTTTGCTAAAGGACAAATGCAACATGGTGAAGTTTCAGAATCAAAAGACTTTAAAGAAGGAATGATACTAACAAGTTTCTTTAAAACTATAGATGATGGATGGCCTAAACGCTGGTGCCAAAGAAGTCCATCATCAAGTACTGATCCAGAGAAAGAACAAGCTGCAGGTGTTGATGTGGAGAGGGAAGTAGTTTCTGTCTCAAGAATGTAAAGATTGTGATAAAGTCTACCCCTCCCAATCATCAAGCCCTGAGAAAGTTCCTGGATAAAGCAACAATTAACATAGAAATGAGCTGAACATGATAAAGTTTTTACCAAAGAACTAACACTAATCAAATTAAACTTGAAATCTGGAACATGCAAAACATTATGCAGTATGAGTTTATGAGTAATATGAATAGTACCTATATGAGTAATAGAAACCCTAGTACCATTTGGCAAAGTTACAGTAACACCAGAAACAGGCTTTGATTCCCTAAACATTGCTAAGTCTGAACTTACATGACTAGAAGCTCCACTATCTATAATCCAAGCATCTTGTGGTATGAATTTTTGTAAGGAAGATAGAATATGATTTTGGAAAGTAAGATGATTGTTTTCAAATTTTAAACTAGTAGAAGGAAAAGGAATTATAGTACCAGAAGTTGAAGTTTCTGCCATTAGACCATGTTCAGAGACTGTTGCCATAGCCAAAGGACTAGGATTACTTGAAGAAGCGACAGGCTCTGGAACTTGAACTTGAGCCTGGAATTGAGAAATCATCTGTTCGATTTGCTGAGGAGTAAATTCTTGTAAATTTTGATTGTTTCCACCTTGTGTAACATGAGGCACTGTATAGGAACCATAAGTACTATATGGATTAACCATTGATGCCTGATTGTATGCTTCTGATGGATAAGCTCCTGACTCTGCATATACATGTGCCACTGCATTTGCTTTCTGCATTGAATTAGCATATGGCATCATTGGCATTTGAGCTGGATACTGCATCCTTGGAGTCTGCATCATTGGCATTCTTGGTTGAACAAGTAACTGCGGATTAGTCTTGTACTGATAATTGCCATTGCCAATCTTCATTCCTGGTGGATAACCATGCAACTTATAGCATTTCTGAATCGTGTGTCCCACTTTCCCACAGTGAGTACACATAGGCTTCTGAGCCGGTCTTACTGTGTTATATGCTGCAACATATGCATTATCACCTTCTGACAGCATTTGAGTACTATTCTGGAAAGCCACATTGTCTATACGAGTAGGAGGCTTAACATTCTTCTGTCTTTCATCTTGAGTCACAATATTGAAAGCTTCTTCTATTGTTGGAATAGGTTTAAGCATCAAGATGTGACGTCTAGTCGGATCAAAACCTTCATTCAATCCCATAAGAAATTTTGTCACCCTACTCCTCTGTTGTAAACTTTCCCATTTCACTGCAGCATCACATTCACAACGACCACATGTACAAACTAGGAGCTCAACATAGTTTCTGTGTTCTTCCCACAGAGTAAGTAAAGCAGTGTAATATGTAGAAACATCCATTGAACCCTGCTCTATCTTACTTAATTTCTGCTCTATATCAAAGATTCTTGGAGCATCATCTTGCTTAAACCTTGACATCAAATTATTCCATATACCTTGAGCAGTAGCTATGAAGAGTAAACTCTGTCCTATCTTTTTATCAACTGAATTCATTAACCAAGTACTAACTATATCATTACACCTAGACCAAGCACCAAAATCTCTATGATCTTCAGGTGGTTTAGAAATCGTACCATTGATAAATCCCAATTTGTTCCTGACATTCAAAGCCATTAACATCGATCGACGCCAAGAATGAAAATCAGAAGCAGTCGTAAGTCGATCCAAAACCAAAATAAGACCAGCATGATCCGTATTATGAAGATAGTACGGATTCTCATAATGATCAACTGGATAACGAGACTGTTCAGCAACAATTGACGGAGGACGAGGCACCGGAATCACAGGTGGAGGTATAAAAGATCCCATTCTCAGTGTAAGAACAAGAAATTTCAAAGAAAATGAGACGAATTTGTTGTAAAAGAAAGAGAATTGTCGTCGCTATAGGTCAATGAAAGAAAAATGAAAGAAACAGAACGGAAAAACAAGATTCCGGTAACCGGAGAAGAGAATCGCAAATCGCGAAGAAACAAAATCAAAAGAATTAACAAGAAAATGAAAACGAGAAATCACAGCTCACTTCTGATGAACACAACGAATGCGGAATCTTCATTTTGTGCTCTGATACCATAATAAAGTCCGATACATCGGAGAAACTAGATAGGAAAAGTGAGAGAGAATTGAAGAAGATAACAAACTTTTCTTAATCATTCCAATGTTTGTTACAACAACTTGATTATCAAAAATGAGAGTCATTAAGCTTATATACATCACATTAAACCGAGTATTAATCTCAGCTTATTAAACCAAAGTTAACCAGTAACATTGAACTGGTTATATCCTCAATAAGTCGTTGATCATCCTATCTTTGGCTTCAGAATCAATGCATTGTGGAGAGAAAGTGGCTGTCTTCAAACGAGTAGCATTCTTTAAGAAATACGTAGCCATCTCTACATCTCCTCGTCGTCCTTTGTAACCGCTCCACGCAAAAGTTTCAAGACTGTTGGGAACAGAACTCGGCGGCTTCCAGCAATCCGGAGTTTCTTCGCTAGAAAACTCAAGCTCATGTTCATCGGTGAGTTTGAGAGATGCTAGTCTGGGGGAACTTTGGAGCATTTGGGTGAGAAGCTCCGACCAACCTTGCGCACATGTATTTAGTATGAGAGTATAGAATTGGATGATTCTTATTACAAGAGGGATTACACTTATTTATACATGAGAGATGTAAGAGTAGCCCTAATCACACATAAATACAGAATATACGATTGAGATATCAAATATATGATTGACAGAATGATCTCCTTAATTATCTCCTTAATACGCCCCCTCAAGATGGAGGGGCTTGCGAAACTCCAATCTTGCTCGTTAGCCGTTAGAACGTGGACCGTGGCAGCGGTTTTGTGAGAGCGTCAGCAAGCTGGTCGTCAGTGGAAATGTGAGCTACACGAAGTAAGCCGGACTGCACTTGATTACGAACAAAATGACAATCCAAAGCTATATGTTTCATCCGTGAGTGGAAAACAGGATTGGCACATAAGTACGTAGCACCGACGTTATCACAATAGATGACAGGAGCGTTGGTGATGGTAATACCTAGTTCACTGAGAAGTGAGCATATCCAGGCAACTTCGGAGGATGTATTTGCTACGGCCCGATATTCAGCCTCAGTAGATGATCTCGCCACACCTTTTTGCTTTTTCGAGGACCAAGCGATCGGATGATTACCCAAATAGACAATGTAGGCATTAGTTGAGACATAATCATCACTATCTCCAGCCCAGTCGGAGTCCGAGAAGGCATGTAGACTAGGTGAATTAGCACGACTCAAGAATATGCCATGTGATGGAGTACCCGCCAAGTAGCGAAGAACACGTTTGACCGCAAGCCAATGTTCATCTGTAGGAGAATGCATGAACTGTGACAAACGGTTGGTAGCATAGGAAATATCGGGTCTAGTGAAAGCCAAGTACTGGAGGCTTCCAACGACACAACGATATTCAGTCGCATCGGAGAGAGGCGTACCAGATCGGAGAGTCAACTTTGGAGACGATGCCATGGGAGAGGTGACTGGTTTGGCCGAGAGCATGTTAGTACGTTCAAGTAAATCAAGAACATACTGACGTTGTGTGAGATGAAGACCAGAGATTGTCCGTTTTGCTTCAATCCCCAAGAAGTATGAAAGTTCTTCATGATCTTTAACTGAGAAACGGCTAGCAAGTGTCTGTAGTGTCTCTTGAAGCAGAACATTATCATTGCCCGTAACAAGAATGTCGTCCACATAAACCAACATATAGACAAAAGATCTTCCTTTCTTCAAAATAAAAAGAGAGGTGTCTGAAACAGAATTCTGAAATCCCACGGAGAGAAGAAAATTGCGGAGCTCAAGGTACCAAGCTCGTGGTGCCTGTTTTAGGCCATACAAAGCCTTCTTGAGATGACACACATAATCCGGACGATCACCATCAATAAACCCAGGAGGCTGATCCATATACACATCTTCCTTTAAAGTACCTTGTAAGAACGCATTGTTTACGTCTAATTGACGAATAGGCCAGTCTCTGTTTACAGCGACGCCAAGAATCAAACGTATGGTTGTCGATTTGATGACGGGGCTGAAAGTCTCGGAGTAATCAAGTCCTGGTTGTTGATTATATCCTTTCGCGACCAAGCGAGCTTTAAACCTGCGAATCGTACCATCAGGATTATATTTTGTTGTATAAACCCACTTACAGCCTACAATGTTGACTGTTGGAGGTGGTGGTGGAACAAGATCCCAAGTATGATTAGCCAATTGAGCATTGTACTCTTCTGACATCGCTTTCCTCCACTTCTCATCTTTGAGTGCTTGTGTATGTGTTCGTGGCTCGTGACCAGTAGCTTTGGCAAGAGACATAGCAAGAGTGTACTTCATATTTGGCTTGGAAATTCCCTTTTTAGATCGAGTTTCCATCTGGTGCGTATTAGCCGGATTCACTGGTAGCGACGAAGAAGAAGAAGACGTGTTAGTCTGATTCTGAGATTGGGCCTGAGTGCTTTGTGAAACTAATTGGGCTTGTTGGGCCTGTGTTTCTAAAACATTGTGGCCTTCAGAATCTATATGGGCCGTTGATGAGTTAAGGCCCGTAGAGGATTGTTGATGAGAGGAGTTTGCGGAAGCAGAGTCGTCGTGAACCGGAGTCGACGTAGAGATTGGCCGTGCCGGTGAGTGTGGCTGAGCCGATGACGGAGGACGTGGTGAGGACGGAGCTGACGAGGATGTCGCCTGAGAATGTGATGGTGTTGCCGTTGACTCCGAACCAGACACTTCCAATGGTGAAGGAGCAGAGGTCGAGGGCGAGTCACCGGAGAGTTCTTTAAGTGGCGAAGAGGAAACCAGAATGGGAGTGGAAGAAGCAGGTGGAGGTGTTTGGTCGGTGGTGGATGGAATTGATTTTTGTAAAGATGAGAATGGGAAGACACGTTCATCAAAACAAACGTGTCGGGAGACGTATATGCGGTGAGATGTTGGTTCAAGACATAGGTAAGCACTTTGAGTGAGAGAGTATCCAAGAAACACACAAGGAGAAGATTTTGGAGCAAGCTTGTTGTTGACATATGGTCGTAGCCAAGGAAAACATAAACAGCCAAAAATTTTGAGTTTTTCATAGTTTGGATTGGTGTGAAAAAGTTTCTGGTAAGGAGATTGAAGAGATAGAGTAGGTGTAGGCATACGATTTATCAGATAAACCGCAGCAGAGAAAGCATATGTCCAATAAGTGTTGGGCATAGAGGCATGAGTTAGAAGGGATAAGCCGGTTTCAACAATATGACGATGTCGTCTCTCGGATAAACCGTTATGCTCCGGTGTATGAGGAGGAGTTGTAAGATGAGAAATACCATGGGTGGCAAGAAATGATTTAAGAGCGATATATTCACCTCCATTATCAGAAAATAGAGTACCGATCTTTGTTTGAAATTTATTTTCGACTAGAGCTTTAAACTTGATAAAGGTGTCTTTGACATGGGATTTGAGTTGGAGAGGGTATAACCATACGTAACGAGTGTGGTGATCAACGATTATAAGATAGTACTTATAATTATCAATTGAGATCACAGGAGAAGTCCACACATCGCTAAATAGGATTTCAAGAGGACGAGAAGAAGAGATGGATGTTTCAGAGAATGAAAGCTTGTGACTTTTATTTATTGAACAGTCGTTACAAAGAGAATTGGACTGTTTGGTGGAATGAGGTAATGCAAACTGAGAGACAATAGTTTTTAAAATTGAAAAAGAAGGATGTCCTAAACGAAAATGCCACTCTTGTAAAGAGGGTTTATTTGAAGTAGAAGTAAAAAACGAAGTTGCAAAAGGGTTGATGATTGGCCACTCATAGAGTTCTCCGTTAGTGCGACCTTGGAGTAATCGGGCCCCCGAGCTGAGATCCTTCACCTGAAAGTGTGCAGGAAAGAATTCAACAGAAACACCATTAGCATTACAAAGACGATAAACCGACAATAGATTCTTTTGAATGTCAGGGACACAAAGAACATCACGTAAAGCCAAAGGTTTTGAGCAAGAGGGAAGAGATGCTAAACCAGTATGAGTGATACGGAGACCAGAACCATCACCAATCAACACCTCTTCACCGCCATTGTACGGCTGATGGAGAGAAAGGTTGTTAAGGTCAGAAGTAATGTGATGGGTGGTACCGGAGTCGAGAATCCAAGGATTCTGGCCGAGTGATGGAGTTGTGGCAGTCGCAAGATTCGCACGAGGCAACCAAGGAGACGGAGGGTATGGCGGTGTCGGTAACAGTGGGGGAGTTGGTCCTTGTTGACCGGTGAACCCTTGGAGTTGAAAACAGCGTTTTGCAGAGTGACCCTGGACGCCACAGATTTGGCACTTGCCAAGATAGGGTCGTGCCTGACGAGAATCATTACCACTAGGATTGAGAGACGGCTTCCATGTTTGTTGATTGTTTGTCAGTTTTGGAGCAGAACGATTGTTGCGATTGTTGGTGGAGTTGGTGACATAGTTCGCCGTTATCGGGAAGGAGGACGGAGGAGCAGCAGTCATGAGATTAGCTTCATGATTAAGAAGCTTCTCATGTAGCTCGGTCAGACTCGGAGGAACATCACGGCCCTCCATCTGGTTGGCGATGACTTTGTAATCCTCGGAGAGACCATCGAGGATATACTCAATCTGATCCTCATGATCAATGACTTTGCCGAGAAGAGCCAATTGATCAAAACGAGTAGTGAGACCTTGAAAGTACTCATCGATGGTTCGTGTACCTTTAGTCCACTGTTTGACTTGATGCTTGAGTTGTTTGATGTGACCCCGACTAGGCTTGGCGTAGGTCTGAGCAAGCGTAAGCCACACATCGGCAGAGGTGAGAGCACTAGACACAAGAGGCTGGACAGAGGCGGAGAGGGCGCCAATGAGGGCTGAGTAGATCAAGCGATCTTGTCTCGTCCATAGATCGAAGGCAGGATTTGGTGTGTTAACCTCGTTAACAACCACAGTCGGCTCCGGAACAGCAGCGGTGACGTCGAGAAATTTTGCAAGAGAATAGCCATCAAAGATGGCATGAACCTGTCTGCTCCACATGAGGTAATTTGTGGCATTGAGTTTGATAACATTGTTCATGTTAACATTCACGAGAGTGGTGGGGTTGACAATAACTGTTTCTGCGTTGTTGTTGTTGTTGTTTGCCATTGAAAAAGGGAAAAGAGAAACAGAGGAACGAAAAAGAAGAGCGTCGGGAAAAAAAGAAAATTTAAGAACAGAGAGCAAGCTTAAAAGGAAGAAGATATGAGAGTATAGAATTGGATGATTCTTATTACAAGAGGGATTACACTTATTTATACATGAGAGATGTAAGAGTAGCCCTAATCACACATAAATACAGAATATACGATTGAGATATCAAATATATGATTGACAGAATGATCTCCTTAATTATCTCCTTAATATTTAGCTCGAGATGAACATGTTAGTGGTAATTGAGTTTGGTCACATATTTAACATATATTAATATATGTATGAATGTGTATTAACGGGTGAGTGTTAATGAGTTGTGTTATTAAGTTGTCGGTTTCCACAAGTTACGAACGGTTACGACCGTACGACATGTATATAAGTGAATGAGTGTTGTTGTAATAAACCAACAAGTTTCAGATTCAATAAAAAGTTTTTTCGTTTACTTTTCTTCTTTAGAAGAGTCTTATCTCTTACTCTATTTTTTTATCCTCTTCAAAATACCAACATGGTATCAGAGCTTATTTGGTCTTGGAGCCTGTCCAAGTAAAACAAAGATAAGAAGAATTCCGCTGCGAGAAGAAGAGAAAGATGGAGCCAACATTTCTAACGGTTAGAAACCGAGAAAAAAAAAAAAAAAAAAAAAAAAAAAAAGAGAAAAAGAAGAAGAAGAAGACGTAATAGAAAAGGAAGAACAAGAAGAGGTGGTAACAAGAGAGAGTACCATCAGCCTTCACAAACACATTCACATGCAGTACCTTCAAGAGGAAGGCTCCAAAAGCGATGAAGAAGATAGGAAATCTTCTCTAAAGGCAATGGAGAAAACGGATGTGGATTTGGAGTTGTGGAAGGAGAATTCTGAAACTTTGTTCAAAGAGGTCTTGGTGAAACAAGACGGGGAAGCCGCCTGTTGTAAGAAACAGGGCAAGGCTTAGTATCAAAAGGTGTTGTTGAGTTGTGAAGAACACTGCAACATGGAGTAAGCTTCTGTTGGGAGAACAGTGCAAGGCTACTCAGCAAAAAGGTTCAAGGGAACTGATGAGACGTCATCGAGATGTGATGGTGATCAAAAGAGGACACCATAAGAGGATGCTTACCTCGGAGAAAAATGGAGCACAAGAGGATGCTTACCTCGGAGGAAAATGGAGCATAAGTCGGTTGAAGAGTAAACCGAAGACGACGTGAAGAAGATTCACGCACAAGACGTCATGGAGACGTTATGGTGATCAAAAGAAGACACCGAAGAAGACGTGACGATGTTCACGCACAAGGCGTCTACGTGACGTGATGGTGATCAAAGGAAGACACCAAGCAAAAAGGAGAGATGCTTACCTAAGAGTGAAAGGAAGCATTGGGTTGTTGTAGAGACAATCGAATAAGACGTGGAGAAGATTCACGCACAAGAAGTCACAGAGATGTGATGGTGATCAAAGGATCACAAATTTGGTGATCAAGAGGACACCAAAAGGGAATAAGAAGAAAGCTCACCTAAGAGAAAGGGAGTGGAAGAAGGTTGCAAGAACAGCCGTGATAAAAGATCCCGGAGAAGACATGAGGAAAGGTCATGGAGACTTCAAGTAAATCGTAAAAAAGGTCATGGTAAACTTGAAGGTGACATGGAAAAGATTTGCGGGAAAGAAAAATTCCAAGAGCTCTTATGTCAAAAGAAAACAAATACAATTGACAAAAGAGTGTCATATTGTGCAACAAAGAGAAAGACAACAACAAGAGGAAGAAGAAAAGGTTGTGAAGAGAAGGAACAGAAGTCAACAAGAAGCAAACTTGGGTTTAGACAGAAACTCAATTAAGGGGGAGTGTTAGTGGTAATTGAGTTTGGTCACATATTTAACATATATTAATATATGTATGAATGTGTATTAACGGGTGTGTGTTAATGAGTTGTGTTATTAAGTTGTCGGTTTCCACAAGTTACGAACGGTTACGACTGTACGACATGTATATAAGTGAATGAGTGTTGTTGTAATAAACCAACAAGTTTCAGTTTAATCAAAAGTATTCTGTTTTCGTTCTTTGTCTTCTTTAAAGGAGAAGAGATATTATCTCTTACTCTGTTTCTTCATTCTCTCTCAAATATTCCAACAGAACAAGCCGGTAGAAGTGGATGATCATAGTAGGAACCTCCGAAAGTAGTGATACACATAGGTAAAGGCGGCGGGCAGAAGCAAGAGCTCGCAAAAACCTGTGGGTTACTCCTTGAGTGATGTCAACATGTGCTGCCATCAAATTAGGCATATTCTTGATTCGGCGGGAGTCGTAAGCAACATCATCGACGATCTTAAGGAACATGAGACTAGGAGCTTCTATCACATGCACACCACCCTTACTTCCGTTTCTTACGTCGTACAACTCCAATATTCGTAAAGAAGCAGGCGCGGCGACAGTGATGTCGACCTCTCTCTGGTCTTCTATCACCTTAAATATAAGTAATACGAGATTAGGACAACCGGGTAAAAGCTTAGGAAGAGATGTGTAATCCACATCGGTAAGGCTCAACCTCTCCAGGGACGGGAGAAAACAGGGAACATCCGAAACAAGGCAACGTGCTAGCCCCAAGGTCTCTAGTATTTCACATGTGAATAGGCTACTCGGCAAAGTGACCGGCCCTGACCCTGTCCCCATATTGACTATGAGATTGCGCAGGCGGTGAGAAACCGCAATACCAATCCATATCCCAACATCTACGGCGTGACACTTAGGACCTAGCGTGAGACTCAACTTCTCTAGAACAGGGGCCTTGTTTGAAAGCAAAGTTTTGTAAACAAACTGCGAGAAGCGCTTATGGTAATTCTGATGATTGTTATCATCAAACTCAAGTCTCGAAACTAGATTCCAAAGAGACCGCCATCTTGTCGACACACAGCTCATGGCCAGGACGTCGGTTGTCGGAACAAGCGACAGTATTCTAAAGATCAAGTCTTCTGAAAGTTGACTAATCATGTCCATCTTCGAATTAAGCCGCAACACCAACGATGAAGAACAAAAAAAAAAAGAGATGAGCTCTTGAGAGAACGTATAAAGCCAAGGCGTTGAGACAAGTTAGGAAACGATCTATTAAGTTGCTTGTTTCTCAAGCTTTCTCGTTTCTTCTTCTGAATTGATCGTTTCGTTAATCAATCAAGGTCAATAATATCCGTCCGTATATATACAAGAACAGACTTGGCAAAAAAATGAAGGAAACAAGCTTCGAAAGAAAAAAATGAGTGAAAACCTTTTCAAATAATGGAAATCATTTAGTCCATCCCTTTTAAGAAAGCTAAAAAGAGGAAATACCTCATCAAAAAGGAAATTGATTTATATACCTAAAAAGACCCAAAAATGAAACTGAAATATATATAGTACCTCATATTATCTAAACCAAGTCTGAGACAACAACCACAAGAATGCAGTTTGAGCTTCTTGCAAAGGTTAAGATAGAGAAACTGATCCCAGAGAACGTAATGCGAGTTTATCTGATATCATTGGAGGACACGATTACGCAAAATGTGATATCTGGATACATGTGATGTGGACAATGACAAAAAGTCAAAACTATGGGAACTAAACTGAAAAATATATATATATGTACATTATTATTTATAGCCATATTACCAAGAAAGGTATGGTTTCAAGCTTCTGTCTCCTTTGAGCAAAGGAGCTTTTGGAGGAAAGGAATTGAACTTGAAAAGTGGTTTTCATTATATCATAGTGCCCTTTTATATTTGTTACAAAAATTTCATGCCAAACAAGTTTTCAGGTACGATTAGATTGGTAAGAACAAAGTTTATACACATTGAAGGATATCATAATCTCTTTAATGCCGAGTAAAAGAATCAACTTGCACACTTCAACTGATAAGATAAACCGCACAAGTTTGCGGATACAAACCTGTGAAGGGGTACTGCGGTTTTCAAAACGTATTTGTTAAAAAAAAAAAAGGAGGGTTGTAATAGATGAATGGAGAAGAAGATAGAATCGAGTATGAATGATCTTGTAAAGGTTTTGGTCTTTTCTTCACATCCCTGATCATCTATCCAGCTCACTAGGAGTGTCTGTCACTATAGTGTGAAATACAAAATTTGGAAACGTCTTCGTTACGTCTCTACAAAAACACAAAAACCTAGTTAGTCCCGCCCGAAGAAGATAACAAGGCAAATAACATGGCTTACTTGAGATGTTGAAGGCTCATGTTCTGCAACAGAGAGGGATGGCGCAACACAAGACTCCGCCACTCTTCCTTATCAATCTTCCCATCCAGTTTAGTATCAGCTTCTTCAAATGTCTACACACCAACCATTTTTTGCATCTCATGTAAAAGAATAAGTATGAGAATTAAGCCTAGTCAGTGTCAATGGAGATCAACCAAACCCACCTTGTCTATGATGCTCTCGATCACATGATCAGAAAGGTTCATGCCAGATTCAGCTAGAGTCCGCACAACCATTTTCTTGACCTCCTGTCTCTTTATATAACCTTGCTGCTTCAGATCATACAGCTTGAAAGAAACTGTAGAGGAAAAAGATGAGCATGACAAGGTTTGCATATGAAAAACAAAAAGGCCAAGTCTCTACCACTTACACTCAATCTTATCCTCAAATTTAGCATTGGGGTGAAAGACCGAAAGAGAACGAGCAAAGGCTTCAAAATCTAGAATCCCAGTATGCTTGGTATCAAACAAGTCAAACACCTACAAAGCTTGAAATATGAGTGTACAGCAAGGAAACTCAGATAGGGGAGTTACAAGTCTTTTTACCCTATCAGCAAAAAGGCTTCTCGTTGTGTTCATCTTGAATAGTACCAATTGAAATTGTTCCTGCAATTGATTTGAAAGGATCCTATTGAATATAGAAGAACCGAGAGATATGGTACTAGCTAGTAACCTATGAATCGTGGCATACCTTGTCGATAAGCCCGTCTTTGCTAATGCTCTTGAACAGTTCGTAAAGTGCTTCAATCTCATTCACAGTAACTGCATTTGGTACATCAAGTCATTGTTGGGGCTGTGAGAATAAAAAAAAGTACAGTAAATGTAGGAGTAGTAGACACATACACACAGTGCCTCTAGCCACATCTTTAGGGTTCTGACGACCCTTGGGAAGATCAGAATCACAACAAGTCAACAGAATTAAGGATAACTGCTTTATTCCATCTAAACATTGCATCATCATCTTTCCCAAAACTCACTATTTCCATGCCTAAACCACAAACACAGGAAAAAAAATGGTTAAATTCCATTGAATATCAACAGAAACCCTCTACAGTTTGGCATCAAGAAAATTAAAAATTCAAGAATCGAACATGAATTTGCCGATCCAATGAATGTAGTTTTGACTTTTTGATAGAAGGGAAAGGAGATGAACCAAGAAATATACCTTTTCTTTTTTCCTCGTTAGCGTGTAAAGAAGCTTCAGATGATACGACTTGTTCCAAGAGAAATTCTTTTTTGACCACGATCTGATATTTCTCTCTCTTCATAAAAGTTGTTGTTGGCTGCTGAGACATGGGAAAGGATCTACTAGTTCGTTGGCGTAAATAAGTCAACTCTTAGTTGGTGACCACTCTAACAAGTTGACATTTCGAGAAAGAGAAGATACTATGATGGATTCATCATAACTAATAAGATACACAAGTGTACAAGACCAAAAAAAATGTCTGTTTTTGGGAACAACATTCACAAAGCCAGCTTTGGCACAGAATGAATCCAGCCCTTCTAACCACTAACGATCTGTGTTTCAATGTCAGACTTTGTTGATCCTCTCTGTTGCTTCTTTTTGACCTCTTCTTCACAGGTACATACCTTTGTAGTTATCTAACAGCAAGGTGTTGAATCTCCTCCTTCCAAGAAGCGTTTTGTAAACCTGACAAGGCAAAAGAAAAACGTTGATTCCAAGTACATATGGGACTGAGGCAGAGCACAAGGGGTTTCTATCTTTTTAGTTGAGCATGGCCAAACCAACCAAAGTCTCTGGATTTTTTTGAATACGAACTAATCGAAAGTGAATGGTAAAGATGTCAAATCTGCTCTCTTTTATAGCAAATAGTCAACCATTCAACTTTATGTTGTAAAAATGGTGATTGTTGTTTTGTTGGGACAAATTTGAATAAGTGCTTCCAAGTCGCAGCACAGGCTTAACCATTTCATCATTTCATAGCCGCATCCAAGCTAATACTGCAAGACAATCACAATCTCACTTCCACTCTAAAACACCACATATTAACTTGGCTAGGCTCTCTCTTTATGTACCCATGGATTCTTTCCTTCTCTATCTCTACGACTCTACCTATTATCTTGATTGTTATATGTTTCCATCATCTATGAGAACTAGCTGAGTGGTGGAAAACATATATTAAACCAAAATAGAAAACTTGATATAGCCATAACTCAACTGGTGGGAAAAAAAAGATATTGACAACAAAAACATGTCAAACCACTTCAAAGTTGACATCTTTGAAACATAGAGCATTAGCAAACGAGCGAGTTAATGAATTGAAGACAACATCTATCTAATAATTTGGTGAGAATGATGACTATTGATATGCCTACCACTGATTAGACTAAGACCAAATGTGGGGTGATGGGGTAATTGTAACCAAATCAAACTATAGGGTAATAAATGCAATGCAATAAAGAAAAACGAAGAGATGGAAAGTAAAGAGAGCTGAAATATGTGAGTGGGGGAAGATGGAGAGTGGTATGGGAACAACAATTGATGATGATATGACAAACAACAACAACAAATTTGTGTGAGAGTCTTGCTTGTGTTGAATCAAAGATTGGTCCTTTTTTCTCTTTCCTGCTTTTCTTTTTTGTTGCTTTCTTTTTTAGTTTGTGATCTCAGGAGGGCTTTTATAATTTGCCCTCAATTTCTCCGTCCCTACTCTTTTTGATCAGTTTCTACGAGAAAAAGCACGAATCTTTAAACCCGGGCCTGTCCTTGTAATCAAGTATGTTGTGTTACTCATGAATTTGTGGTGAGATCTGGTGAGAAGTTTCCTCCTTTTTCTCAGATTGCTGTAAAAAAAAAGAGTTTTTATTAAGGAAGAGAGAGAGGTTGAGATTAGATTTTATCGCTTTTGTTTGTGATATGGGTAACGTGAACGCGAGAGAAGAAGCGAATAGTAACAACGCTTCTGTGGTTGAAGACGACGACGCTGAGATTTGTTCTCGTGAAGCCATGTCTGCTGCTTCTGATGGTAACCATGTCGCTCCTACTGAGCTTATGGGTCAATCTCCTCCTCATAGCCCTCGAGCCACTCAGTCTCCTCTCATGTTCGCTCCTCAGGTTTTGTTCGTTCCAGATTCACTTTTCCTCGCTGTCTTAATCTGGAGGTTGTGATGAAAGAGATCTAAAGCTTTAAAGTTTGTGTCTTTTTTAGGTTCCGGTGCTTCCACTTCAAAGACCTGATGAAATTCATATCCCTAATCCTTCGTGGATGCAATCTCCATCTTCGTATGAAGAAGCTTCTAACGAGCAAGGAATCCCTACGATGATCACATGGTGCCATGGAGGCAAGGAGATTGCTGTGGAGGGATCATGGGACAATTGGAAGACAAGGTTTTAGTTGAATGTTTGTTTTGATTTAATGGCTTCTTTCATCATTTCAAATCTCAGCTCATGTTTGTTGTTTTTTGTTTTGGGGGTTTGATCAGAAGTCGGCTACAGAGATCTGGAAAGGACTTCACAATCATGAAAGTGTTGCCTTCAGGTGTCTATGAGTACAGGTTCATTGTGGATGGACAGTGGAGGCATGCCCCTGAGCTCCCTTTGGCTAGAGATGATGCTGGGAACACTTTCAACATTTTGGATCTTCAGGTAACTCCATTATCTTTCTAGGTTTCATCAGCTTTCGAATCGGTTAGTTGGTGGAGAAATGAAACGTTTAATGAGAGACTATTTGGAACTGCTAAATCAGGGTTATAGGGAATGGAAAAGAGATCTATGTTGATTTGCAAGTTAAAACCAGGCTTTGTAGTTCCTTTTTCGATTTTGCGTGTGAAAACAGCAGAGATACTTTGATGTTATGCAGGACTATGTTCCTGAAGACATTCAAAGCATATCTGGGTTTGAGCCTCCGCAATCTCCAGAGAATAGTTACAGCAACTTGCTTCTCGGAGCTGAGGATTACTCTAAAGAACCGCCTGTGGTTCCCCCGCACCTACAGATGACACTGCTGAACTTGCCGGCAGCCAATCCTGACATTCCATCTCCGCTGCCGAGACCTCAGCATGTCATCCTCAATCATCTTTACATGCAGAAGGGCAAAAGTGGTCCTTCTGTGGTTGCGCTTGGTTCCACTCACCGTTTTCTAGCAAAGTATGTAACTGTGGTGCTCTACAAGTCCCTGCAGAGGTGAGTGAAGATGATGCCAATTCCAATGGGTAGCATGTGGAAACTCGACATGCTCTTATCTAATTTGGTGTTCAAAAGTTAACTCATGGAGAATGGGTGAGGCTATAGGAAGGAGACACACGAAGAGAGTTATTTCCAGGCACAAAGTATTCCCTCGATACGGCGAATTTTGTTGTCTTTAAAGTTGTCAATAAGTTTTACCAACAGAATGAAGATGCAGTATTCAGTCAGTGTCTGTAATCTTTTGATTTGAAGACTCATCATCTGTTTTTTTTAGCATAGAAGAATGCAGGAACGACTTCACTTGTAAAACCGGCAAATCTTTTTTATGGTTTTGTTTTGGGGCTTTCAAGTTTTCCACAACAGTTGTTGTCACCTGCCAGTCTTTAAATTATTGTTTGGTTTCAAATCTAGCAAAGTTATGTGTGATTGTGACAGATGATCATATGCTTCTGCAACTTGTGTAACAAAAGCATCTGGAGATCAACTATATCGGTGAAAAGCAAAAGATGACGGATGTCTTATTAGCTCATTATCATCTTCAGGAGAGGTCTCATTCTCAAATGAATCTAAAATAGAGTTTATTGCATTCTGATGGCCACTATCTAACAGTAGAAGGCTGTACAGAAAGAAGCAATAGAAAGGGCAAAACATGTGATTTTATATGTTTGAGTCTAATCAAGTTGCTGAATTTAGAAAACGGGACAGCCTTTGGCTTTGATTCCAGGGGCCGTGGGACAGGAGGCAAGAGGGCAGTGGTCTACTTCAGTGCCCCACCATTTGAGGTCGTGTCCAGCGTTCTGCAGGGCAAAGAACAAGAGCACCCCCATGAATGCGGTTCCTGCATCGAGCGCTGCAGAGAGTACGTAGTTATACTTCTGCCACCATCTCTTGTGGTAATTGAACACAAAGTAGTTGAAGATGGTTCCTGTGACCAGCCAGCTGGCAATGTTGGTTGGAGTGGCTGGAGGCATCCCTGCAAAGCCGTAGGAGATAACTGGAATGTTTATGAGAGGTATCCACTTCTTGTTTGGGAAGATTTTGCTCAGCGCCCACACGGGAACAGGCAGGACAGCTCCGATGAGGAAGAGCCAGACAAGGTTACGGTACATGCCTCCTGGTCCAAACAGCCGTCTTGGTCCTATCAAACCCCAAATAACTGAAGCATCGAACGTCACTCTGTACTTGGGGCAAGTCCACGGGCTATTAGGGTGGTCTCCTTCAATGTCGCATATGTCTTGAATGCTCTCCAGCATCCACCAGGCCACTCCCAGATTCACTACACCAGCTACCACAGTCCCCACCAGCTGAGCCGTGTACATGCAGCGCGGTGGGATTTTCATGTAATGGCCAAGCTTAAGGTCTGCCAAGAATGAGAGAGCGTGGACTGTGCTGATCCGCCCGTAAATCTTGAAAATCAGGTTTGCAATGGGTTTTCCAGGCAGAATATAACCGATAATGAACTGCCCTATTATATCATACCCCGGTTGCTGCATTTTTAAGAAAACACACACAAAGATATGAGCATGTGTTATTGGAGGAGGCCTTATCTTATATATAAACTAGTAATTAACCTGATTTGTAGTTGCTTGAATGACACCGATAGGGAGTGTGACAATAAAGGCCAATGCAAAAGCAAAGAGCATTCCCCACCATGGAAGCTGCACTGACTCTTTCCACACAAAAGACATGAGAAGAGACATGGCTACGCTTCCTGCCAGCAACACATAAAACCACCACTCAGGCACTTTTTTGTAGCTTTGCATCAATTTCCCATGGATGTCCAGCTTCGTAGTATTCACTGCAGACCAAGTCTGCCTCCATATGTCCCTGCACAAACACACCAAATGATGATTCTCTTCTCACAGTGCCCTAGCTACTCAAGAAAACTGAATGACAAACTAACTAACCTGCCGTTGAATAATGCCACATGGGTTAGTGTTGCAGTGAATCTCGCAAACCCGGATCCGATAGAGAGTGCGAAAAGAGGGCTGAGGTAGAGCTTCCCGTAGCTGTTATAAGCACCAATATCCAGATCAAACTGCGGTGTCAAGATCTTGGTTGTGTCATACTTCTGGCCACTGGTAGTGAAGAGCTGATTGGAGAAAATGGGGAACTTTCTGGCGTCGAAAGTGTTGAACTTCCAATAACAAACAGGGACGACGATGTATATAAACATGATGAAACCAACACCAACGTTGAGGATAGAGGACCATGGAGCCACCAAGGGACTACCATGGTAAGCAGAGATACCAGCCCAGTCAAGAGTGAAGGCTCCAACCCCAAGGCCATGGTACCCTGAGCCAACTTGCTGAGCCGTGATGCTGTTTGGCCAAGCCCAGCAAACCCATGAGAAGAAGGTCAAGATTGGGAATAGATAGCCTGGAAGTGCATAGTAAAGAAAGCTAGCACCAAGAGCCACTAGAAAGAACTGCATCCTCGTTAAGCCTTTAGACTTGTTTTCCTTCTCGTGCAACGCTCTGAAACAAACACAAAAACCATACAATTCAACTTCAAAGGAATCAACTTTCTCGCATTGCAGCTAATATACGAATCAAAATTGGATTAAAAACCTGAATAGAGAAACTTGAGCAAGATTGGAAGGCCACCACATGTCAACAGGATCAACAAGGTACCTCCTCAAAATTCCAGCCCAACCATAACCCAAAATCTACAAAAATTCATTTCAATGCTTGGTCAATTATTTGACTTTTCAACAAAATTGTAAATTCCAGAGAGAAAAAGAAAGTAACCTGAGTGGTCAAGACGATGAAGAGACCACAGATGAAGCTAAGGCTCTGTTTATAGTAAGCTTTCATAACAGTGATAGCCCCAATAGAGTAAGCATCACCACCACCGTAAGAAACGCCACAATTAGCAAAGATGGTGATAATGACATGCTCCTTGATATTAAAAGGACCAGGATTGAGGCTAAAATTCCACCCAAGAAGGTTGTGAGAAGTGGTGGGAAGAGTACGAGCCATGAACTTGCCGATGGGCAAAACAGCGATCTGCATGAGGATGGCTGAGATGGTAAGTGGCTGCGTGCGGTAGGTGAAGAAAGTGTTGAGAAAGATGAGCAGAACACAAGAGGTCAGACCCAAGAACCAAGCTCTGAATGTCATCACCGGTATGCTTGGATCGTCCGTCTCAGGCACCACAAGAGCAACTTCCTCCACCGGACAACGCTCGTGGTCCGAAGAAAGATGGACATTGTTTCTATCACTAGCCTTCTCGGCGTCCATTTTCTTTCTCTTCTTCTTCTTGTCTGAAGTACCAGACAAAGTTGCGTTGTTCTTGTTTATATAACCAAAGGACAAGACAGGGGAACTACTGGCATAAAGTGAATGCTGTTATAAATTTACATTATTGCCCCTGTTCTCCCATACGTTAGTTTATCCACGTGTCAATGTTTCACGCAAAACTATGTTCAAAAATCTTTTGCAATTAATAATCAAATAATTACAACTAATTATGCACTGATCTTTGACCAGTGATAGGAAGACTTATGGTAAAAAGGAGAAAAAGAGAACTAAATTAAGGAAGATGAAATCTGCAAGACACATTGGGAGGTTCTAAATGGTTTAGCTTTCCTATATTGTCCACGCGTGTGAGACGCACGTGCCATTGAAGGTCTGACACACTCAGAACTCTGTCTAGATCAAAGCTGGTCTCATGTGGTCCCGTTTTTTGACACTGGACTAGGACGCGACGTTCCACGTTACCAACGCCGTGAGGATTTTGCTTGAGAATTACGCGAGTGGAAAAGAACGGCCGTTAGTATTCTGACGGAGGTCGTGCTACGATGCGTGGTAAGCTCGTGGCGTGCGCAGAACTAAACTGGATCCACGTGTCAGTCATGCTAACGTGGAATTGACAGAGTAGCAGATCATACGTGGACTTGTCCGAATGGATTTAGAACCTTTGAATATGCTTATTACTTTTTAGCACTTTCTATTGGATGTCCGTGAAAAGTCCAAAGAAAACAGTGATTTGATGAAACGACGGCTAATAATAAAATAAAGGGTTTGGAGTGCTAACTATTCACTTCGATTCTTAGAAAATGGAATAAAGATGAATAAAAAACTCAAGTGTTTAAAAAAATCCAAAAGAGAACTAATTTATTAAATTTTTAAAATGTTTATAGTAGATGGATTAGAGTGATAGGTCTCAAAGGACAAAGATCAATCGTTTTGGTTAGAAGGCGTCCTGACTTATCTAAGAACACTTTGTTCGGTTTTCCACCAAATTAGTTGAACAAAGTCTATATTAGTTGAACAACAGAAGTAATAAACTAAATTCTACCAAATTCAGTGACGTGTAAAACATATTACACTAAAATTTATACAGTATGATTGTATGAATAAGGATAACATGCATGATCAATCTCTCATGGGTTTAAATAGGCTGAAAAAAGACAACAATTATCACAATTTCATCTTTAGCTGATTGGTGAGTCTAACGGAGACTTAAAAAAATGTCAAGATCTTTAAGAAGAGGAATATTTCTTGTTTTTTTTTTTTTTTTTTTTTTCTGTTTCAAGGAATAATTCCATATGATGGTAAGAGAGAACGTTGTAGAGACAAACACCACTACTTGCAAATATGATTGTTGAGTAGTTTTGAAGCAATGAATTTAGATTTGAGAGAATGACACATCACACAATTCCCACACTCTATTCATTATTCTTCTTCCACACATAAAACGACACTTCCTTACTGTTATTTGTCCCTTTATTCTCAAAAAGGCTTAAACCCTTAAAAGCCTCTTTTTATATTTTCTTCGTTTTTCTCCTCCTTTCCCTTATTATTACATGAAATTTAAAACCAATACTATATATATATATATATATATATATATATATATACATTGTTTGTTCACGAACCCTAAATCATTGTATAATTACGCACCACCAAATTTACAGCAATCATTTCGTTTGGACCATTCATACCTTTTTCATTAAGGCAAAAAGCGAACGAGACATCACCATGCGGGCCGGGCTTGATTCTGCATCGACCAAAACGAATTTCTTCCATTCCATTAACATTTTCGTTGTCTGAAGTGCTTGTCGTTCTCGGACACTACAGGAAATGAGGGTATTAATAGCAGTGCAGAATAGCGTTTTTATCGTTTCTGCTATAGTTGAGTTTTAGATAGCGTTTTAGAAAAAGCAAACGCTATGATAGAATGGACGCGAAAATATTTTATAGTGGTGCTTAGTTTTTGTTTCAATGATAGCATAGATGATATTAAAAACGTTATTGTAGGGGTAACCGGGAAACTAAAAAATTTAGTGGATCAAAAATTTCTAAGTAAGAAAAAAAGAAAGAAAAAAAGCCAAAAATGATATGAAAAATTAAAAATAATATATTGAACACGAGAAATATAAACAAAATCTAAAACTTTTGGCTTTCTCTTGTCTCTTCTTTTTCTTTGAAACTCGATAGTAAACCTTCACTGCCGATCCCAATTTGTTCGTCTCTTGTTTCACTCTCACTCCACTCAGTCTCAATCCCTCTCGATCTCAAGCGTCAGTTTCATCGATCCACAAAGCCCTCTTAATAGTCACACGCATCGATCGAAAATCGAATTTGGTAATGTTGTACTTTCAATTTCAGTTAACATAATCTTCAGTAGAAGGTTCTTTTTCGTTCATACCTGGTTGTTTATTTGGTTTCGATTTTGGCTCGAATCACAAATTTGGTGTTTGATTTTGTTTGTTGTTCGCTTTCGTAGACTCTGTAGATATGGGTTCATAATTTCAATTTTGTTTTACCTCCATTGTTCCTCCTTGGTGATGTGATAAAGAGTTTGTTAAATCGTCAACATTACAGTTTGTATTTTTTTGATGGGTTTCTTTTGAATTCTGTATAGCAGGTGTACGGTTTCTTTTGAGGCTCGTTGATGGTTTAAAGGATGAAGAAGATTCAGATGATTATAGTGATGGCAATCTGATGATTATAGAGTGATGGTCTTTGACAGTCCCCCGAATCAATACGTCTTCCTTGTCAGCTTCAATTCTAATCCACAAAGTGAGTTGAATTTGCTTTAAAAGTTTATTGTATTGTAATAATTTAGCTCGGGAAAAGACGGAAATTTTGGTTTTGTTGTTGATGTTCTTTAGATGGAGAATATGGTTTATTTTCTTCACAGATTTGGAGATGATTCATGAAAGGAACTCGTAAGTTGCAAGCTTTGATTTACTTCCAAGGAAATTTTCAATTAACCAACCTATGTTTTTTATAGTTCGACTAACAGACTTTAAATTGCTTCTTGAAGGTAGTGTGGAACCTGGAAGGAGGTAAATAGGTACTAACTCTTGTTATTCTTAGACTAAATCGTGCTGCAAATTTGTGTCCTATGGAGTCTAAAAGGTAAATGTATGAGTTCCTAAATGTACTGAGTTATTTAGCTTTATTGTTTAGGTAATATATATGCAGTTTACCTTTCTTATAACTTCTACAGCTTCTAATATGTGTTCCCGTTTTTTTTGTTCAATACCCTTTTAGAGAACCAGCTCTAAGATTCATAGTTTTGTTCTTACTCGTGGAAGAACTCAATCCCTTATGTTGATTACTTGAGTGGACGAAGCCTCAAAGAAACAATGCATTTGTTGGAGCTCACAGATCACAATTTGTTGTCTTTGTTAATTTTTTTTTTTTTTTTGATATACCATTTATCGATTTTGATATATACGCTCTTACATTTTTTTTTGTCTTTGTAAAATAGTCAAGTTTAGATATGTATCAATAAAGAGAAAAAAAAGAATACAACAAATTTTTGTTTCTTAAGAAGAACATAAAATGGTATTAAAAATAATAATTAAACTACTACAAAACCCAAAATAATAAGAAACTTTAGTGAGTTTTTGATTTAGAGTTTTAGGGTATAGATAGGGTTTAGGCCGTATAGGGTTTTGAATAGATTTTTTCTAATTCTATTAACAACAAGATTTTAATTAATTTTATGGATTTATGAAGCTTTAGTTTAAGGTTTATAAATTCACATTTTTTTTTGCAAACTATCAACGAATAAATAATAAAATTATAATAAGTTTTTCTAAATCCTAAACTCTTAGTCCCAAAACAAATTCTAAACCCTAAACTTCTAACCCTAAACCCTAAATTTCTAACCTTACATCCTCAACACTAAATTTTTAATTTTAAATTATTAAAAAATTAATATCAAACCTTATGCCAAAAAATCTAACACATAAATACTCTCAAGTAGAATTATTTTGTAAATCCTAAACTTTAAAACCTATACACTTATACTAAACTCTAAAACCAACACTTATACAATTATAATTATGTCATAAAATAATTTGAAAGTAGTTTTAGAATTTATAATTTATTTTCATTAATTTAGAACATATTTCGAAACTAATTTACTAATTAAAAGTGAAAATAACAAAAAAAAAATGCCAAACTTGTAAAACGCAAATAGAAAAATCTGTCATTGGTTAACTCATCAAGATAAAGATCACACCGTTTTTAATATAGACCGTTGATTAGAGTGAATCCAAGGGATAAAAAATATAACCTTTCTTTATTATTTCATTGGCTAAGCCACTAAAGTAGGGATCACATTATTTCTAATATGAACCGTTGATTAAAATGAATCTAACGGACACCATTTAATATATTTTTTATTCTTTTCTTTTCACTTTTTCCCCTCATCTTCTTTTAGTCATCTCTTTCATCCAACTAGGTTTAGCCGTCAGACTTGAGAATCTGATGACGAGCGAAGCCTTACTCGGAACCAAAAACAAGGCGACCAAAAACCTCTACCGCCACGAGCCACTCCTCCGCGAGAATTCACCTGGAAAATCTCATGTCTCGATAGGCCTTCGACCAACCCACACCGTAGCCACCTTCTGGAACTCATATTTCTAAAACGCAACACAAGAGATAGATCCGCCGTAATCACCGGTGACCGGAGCAAACCTAGCCTCATTGGAAACATCAATAGGAAAACCATTCAAGCCACGGGTGAGACTTTTCACCTTCTTGTTTCCATAAATCTGATGGTTTGTTTATTAATTCCTCTTTACTTAACAAACTTGTATCCGTCTGAATGTCTAGATTAAAGTAGAATTGGTACTTTAAGTAAATGATGTGAGGTCTTAATGAGAATTTGGTGTTTGCAGGTTTTAGATTCCATCTCGTCACATGGATTAAGGTTTTGTGTGTGTTTGGATGCAGCAAAGATTTGTACACTCTAATCGATTTACAGTGGGATTTACAGTGAGATTAAGGTTTTGTGTGTGTTTGTGTGTGTTTGTGTGTTGTTTTTGGTTGTTGTTGCAGGTTTTAGATTCCATCTGTGCAATTCTTAAGATGATTGGGATTTTGCACTGAACAAAATTCTGCAATACGTCATGGCCGATCATCATGCGGGAAGAGGGTCAAGGATGATAGTGCCATTTTCTTTGAAAACCTGAAGGATCACATGATGAAGTTTCTATTCATCTATTAATCTCTCTTTACTTTTACTTTTTAATTTTGTCTTTTTACTTTGTAATATAATTTTTTGTGTAATGATTTCATATAATAATAAAATATGATATTTTTAATATGTCAATTTATCCAAAAAAAAACTGATCAATTAAAAATAATTAAAAAGATTAATAAACCGATATAATGTATAAATACACAAATACTGCATGAATATAATCTTGTATTTATGTATAATGCTATAATAAATAATAATAAACATAACACTCTCCAAAACGTTGTTAATAATATTACTAATAACATAATAAATATGCTATTATATTATATTTAATTGCATTCAATTAAGCGCTATTGTATAGAACAATAAAATAACATTACGAAAAAGCGCTATCTAAAGTGTCTGACCTATTATGACGGGCGCAGAAATAGCGCTTGTCAAAACGCTATGAAATCGTTAGATAGCGTTATTCGGATGCTACGAAAACCTATTTTTCTTGTAGTGGGACCAACTTTACATTTTCAATATCTACGTATATAAGTTCCATCATAGTTGATCTTGATTTGAAAGATGCTCATTGGAGATTAAATGTTGTCGGATCAAATTGGTGACATGAAACAGTAATGGTCTTTTGGGGATAAATGAATAAATGATGATGGTGCAATTAGAAGCAGTAAACGACGCGGTGAGAGATAGAGTGCGATAAAAAATTAGGGTCAACAAAAATATTTTTTAAAATACAAAATATTTGTTGTACGTTAAACTAAAATATTTTTTCAAATATAGTGAAATAAAAACGCATAGTTTTAATACAATACATTCACTTACAATTTTAAAATTGAAGTTAAAATACGATTGTCTATTCTTGCCGTCACAAAGGTCTAGAGGTACAAATTTATTTTTTATTTTTATTTTGTCAACGAGGTACAAAATTTTGTATAGTAATAATATATTATCAACTCCGTACTATCTCTTTTTACCACAATTTCCTTAATACAAAAAGAATCAAATTTGTAATGTGTGAATGGATAAAGATAGGGTAGAAAGTATCAAAGTAGTACAAGTCTCGGAGCCACACAAAGTAGAGGATATATCTTGGCAATCACATCAAAAGGACAGAATCTTATCAAAAGTCTTCCTAACTTTTGAGTTGCAATTGGGACCCAATAGATTTCCAATCTCATTATTATTTTTCGCTTTGAATTTTCAGCAGAGACGACGACTCCTTATTTTGTATATTCCCGTGTGTCTCTTTCAGTATTATATATTCTTGTCAATCTATTTCATCTAAATCGAACTTCCCACTTGATCTACATAGCAAATATTTGATGATACAAGACGTTACGGTCCAAAACATATAACTAAACATTTTAAAACGTCTACAAGTTAAACAGCTAAAAATAGCAATAGATGTGTCAAATAAGCACCACAATTGAAGAAGCAGATTTAGGAGGAACTTCAAAGTTGACATAAGAGAGCAAGTGCTGGGGTATGAGGTTCATCATAACTAGCATAGCCACTTTGGTACTTAATTAGAATACCATTATTTGATAGGCATGCATGATCGTCATTGAAACAAACACATATTGTTGAAGTGTATCGTTGTTTCATGAAACTGTATCGACTTATGAACATACCTAACAAATTGGTCATGATATAATAATCCCATATTTACAAGTGAAACAAACTGATAATTAGATGAGTTCTTATATAGAGCTGTAACTGTTTGATTAAGATTTTCTTCAAACCGAACTAGGTATAAATAACCCAATATATATGTTTGTTTCATTTTTAATTAGATTTGTACCCGTGTAGCCGCGTTACATCGCTATAATAGTATTTGTAAACAAATTGATGTGATATTTGATCTTAAAAAGTATTTTGTTTTAAAATTTAAGTGGTATTAAAAGTACATTTTCTTAACTTTTATAATCTAATGATTAAAGGTGTTAATTCTGGTTTGCAAAATTTTGATTCTATGAACACAGCGGAGAAGGAACAAGCATGATTCCACTAATGTTATGGTTTGGATAATTCGGTTTTCTAGTTTATAAATAAATGTATCAATAAAAAGAAAATCTAGTCTACAATGTATGGTTGAATTCTTTTTTAGATATGAATGTGATTCACTTCTGTGATTCACTTCACAACGGGTCTTTCCTCTCAACCAATGCTCGTTTATAAATTTTTATTGTTCATTTTAGTTTATTCTAACGGATATAGTAATAGCTCGAGAAGGGGACAGACACTTGAATTATATTTTATGACGTCAATAGTTTTGTACAGTTTTAAATGTTGAATATTTTATCACTAAATGTAATGTTATGGATGCACAAGAAATTCTTAAGAATAAATATATCTTCCATCAAATAGTTTTTTTTTTTAAGTTGTACTAAGAGATCCATAAAAGAGGTGGTTTGAAAGATGTTGCAAAGCTTCATCTATTTTTAAGAATTGAACAGATCATATCGTTTCCATGATATTTGGTGACACTATGGTTAGAGGTAGATGTCTAACATTGCAAGGAAACAGTGGTGGATCTAAAATATATTTTATATGGAGCACAATATTTTTGATTGTATAAATTTAATTTAAAATACAATATTTATATATATTATATGCAAACATAGTTAATCGTTTCATTTTAGTGTTTTGTTAAAGAAAAACGGGGAAAAATATTATTACATATTTGAGGGTCGAACATGAGACATGCTTCCCAAAATCAAGACTGTAACTATTAGACATATGTTCCTTTTTTGAAAAACAAAACCACAATTTATTTAAAATATTGAAGGCTGCAAGCAGGTGGTTCATAGGTTTAGCCCAAAAACCAGCTCGTAATACTCTTAGCACTAACCAAGTCAATGACAAATAAATACAACAAAGACGATGTTTATATTAGTATCTAATTCAATCTAAAACCCGCTACAAAGAACCTGGGCACAATACACATGGAAGAGGAGTTTCCACAAAATCATACCAAATAAGGGAGATCATCAACCCATTTGAAGATATTTAATATTGATTTGAAAGCTAAGATAATACAAGTTAAAAGACTATTTATCTTTCTTAATTTAATATTTTTAATCCTAAATTAATTTGAAAGACTATTGTATAGGTCTTAATTTAATATTTGTAATTATTTTTAATGACATCTCATGTAATTAACTACATATTAGATGTGTTTTGCAGTGAATGCCCAGTGCAATCCAATAAAACAACATAACAAATTTTTTTTAAAAATTATCATTTTATTATATAGTCGATTATTAGCATGACCGCACACAAGATGTACATCTCATCTTTAAAGTCTATAAACTAAACGGTGATATCATCCCAGTTATTCCAATGTTATTTACAGTAACATAATATGTAACTATTATATGCATCTAGTTAATATCAAAAACAATGTTATTTAAGCTGATGATGTTAGTAACGTATCATAGACTACTTACAATCATCTTCGCTTCCATTGTTGAATTGAAGAACGATGATGAGGATGAAGAACGATGATGAGAATGAAGAATGATGATGAGAATGACTCTCTCTCCGCATTTTTATACTTGATACCGCCAGTCACTGCCTCGTCGTTCTAGTGTGACACGTCATAAGGCAGTTACATGTCAGAAGTTAAACAGGTAATTAACGAATTCAAATTCGCTAATCGCTAATAACTAATCACGGACATGTAGTTTCTTCTAACCATACTAGAGCTTAGTGTTAATCAGACATTTCCTTACTTGACCATCATTCTACTTTGGAGCTAGTTATATCCTTGGTAGAATTTTATCGTCTTTGCACTACAAGAAAAATGCACATTCTTAGCTCACGATAAACGCTATGATACGTAATCAATAGCGTTTTCCTAAACGCTATTTCTGCCCCAGCTATAATAGGGTCTCCCCATATAATAGCGGTTTTTGATGCGCTATTATATGTCGTTCTATTATAGCGTTAATTGAATGATGTAATATATATTCTTATAACATATTTTTAATGTTATATTATATTTTACTGTAACACTTAATAGTTGATGTATTATATGTGCTCTTATTATGTGATATTTTACCCTAATATTAAAATTCTGTTTTGCATAATATATTTAATTAGATTTATAAGAAAAAATTATATTGCATAAATTATCCAAAACATATATTCCAAGTTACATCAAACCATGTGTTATACTAACTAATTCACTACTAGGAATCATGCTCTTCACTCCCAACAAGTTCTTCAATCTCTTGAATAGTCCGAATGACACTCTTCTTCACTCCCAACAAGTTCTTCAATCTCGAATTGCCCCAATGACACTCTTAAGCCCCTGCAACGTTAGTACAAGAAGAAACTTATCATTCAATTCAAAAATTTAAGCTAAAAATATAAGAACACATTAATGGTCGGAGAAAAAAGAGTATTGTGTAAATTTGGTGTGAAAGCAAATAGACACCACCACTTTTTGGAGAGAACTAAATGTCAAAGCAGATCTCAACACTTGCAACCTATACATAACATGATCTGAGTAAGTAATATAATCACATAATTTCAAATGCTTGACTCAAAATACAACATAAACAACTTTCTTTAGTATATGCGGTTCTCTTCACATCTGAACATATTCCCATGAGGAAATCATATGAAAGAAAAAGCCTCTAGCACTAAACCAAAGTAGTTTCAATCCCATAACAGTAACATTCTCATATCAAGTCAAACGTCTTTGCGATACCCTTAACAAAAGAACTATACATTATCAATATCACAACCTAGATACCACAACAACAAGAGCAGAAAACAACTAGCATAGTACGACCTAGCATCAGACTAACTCAATTTTGCAAAACTAAGAGCAGAGCTTAGAGAAGAAGGAAATGTGAATTATCTTGCCTTGCTCTCGGATGAGATAAGCATACTTGTCAATGTTAGGCACAATAAGAAGTTTTGGCATAAGGTGATTCCTGAATTATCCATCTGCTACCTTCACCGTCTCACCAGCTTTGCCAAGCTTCTCAATGCTCTACAAAACCAGAAGAGATCAAGAGGAAGACAAAAAAAAAAAAAAAACCCAAAGTCTGATTCAACGAAATCAAAT